AAAAAAAAATAGTCTAAATCGAACGAATGAGTTTTTTATTTTACTTTTCATTTAAAAATTATAATTTTTTCTACACCTAAATATCTAGGGAGCAATTGTGAAGTTTTATTGTGGGAAGAGCACTTCCCTTTTTCTTCAAATCGTTCTTAATCAGTTCAATGAGTTGGTATGATAATTATTTTTCAAGGCAAACGGTGAGGACCATGACACCTGTATCTTCGGTTGCCAGACGTACTGATTTTATCAGTACAGTACTGATTTTTCAACTCTTGTACCGATTTTATTCATTTCTTCAATCAGTACGCTAATGTCTTGATTTTTCAAAATTTGTACTGATTTGTACTGAATTTTCTATTCAAACAAAATACTTTAGTATTTTTCTAAAGTGTTTACATAACGTTGGAACTTCCTTAAACTGTACTGTAAAAAATAATAAGAAAAAAATTCAATTATAGTTGACATGTTTTAGATAATGTTTGATATGCCCAATATCGATACGCCGGGTCGTTACGTACCAGTTGCGATAATATGATGGAGCTCAATTTATTTAAAAAGACGGCTGCCGTTTTTTTGTCTAGTGTTGACAGTTTTCTCGAAAATAAGTTTCTGTTTAATAACAACAAATTTAAATATTCGAATGGCTTTTGCCTATAACTTACAACTCTTTTTTCACAATTTACTGACACTGTAAAAGAGTATTGCATAAAAGACATACGTTTTTCAAAGTTTTTGCGTAGTTGAAAAAATTAGTTTAAGCCATCAGGAATTATATATGAAGTCCTTAAATAGTGGCACTTTTCCACAGTTTTTTTTTTTCAATACTACACTCAAACGAAGCAACTGAGAGGATCTTAAGTAAAAAGTTTGCTTGCTGGCGCATATACTTCTAATTAAAATTATTTAAAGTTAACTTCATATTAAAGTAATTTTAAAAGGAAAAATGTATAGAATTCTTTGACTACACTGAAGATGGAAATGAACTGAGTATTGCTATTCAAAAATGTCATAAATATGAAATAATTGATTGGCTTCTGTGTACAATGATGTGTACATTCATGTTAAAATGAATAACACTTATTTTTTTTTTATGAACTATATTTTATTTATATACCAAAATATTGTTGAAAACAAGTGCTCTGGTGTTTTAAAGTATTATCTGTTACTTACATTCATAATTTTGCTTTGAACAAAAATGTACTGAAAAGTACTGATTTTTTTGGCATGAAATAGTCTAACGTACTGATTTTGCGCATAAAAAAATCTGGCAACCCTACCTGTATCCCAGCAACTCTTTTGCCACTGCAGAAAATTACTAAAAAAAAAATAAAAGTCAACCCGAACAAAAATCGTTCACTGCTGTTTTTGTTGTAGCAACTTACTAAACTCTCGACAATCGACTGCATGTTGCTTTCGTTCCCTTCTAACGGCAGGCCGTAGGGAGTGGGATGTTATATGATTATGGAATTCAATGAGATTATGGAATTCAATGGGAGTTGCCGAAGTTGTTGATTGATTCTCGATGAATGGCCTGTCTATAAAAAAAATCATATTTGTATGGCCGTTCTGGTTTATTAACGAACAAATCTTGTAAATATTGGTGAATCCCATTGAGTGTGAATAACAAATGTTTTTAATATTCTATCGGATTTCGCAATAAAATTATTTTTTTTTTGTATAAAAATGATTTTTGACACCTAAGTTTTCGAAAATAAGCTACAAAAAATTGTTGACTCTTACAAAATAAAACATCTCGTCATAAAAAAAAACATATTTGAAAAATAATTCTTGAAAAAGTCCATTTTTTTGAACCACATTTTTAGTAGCAAATTAAACAGCGAGTGATTACGATGGTTTGATTTTAAATCCGCAATTTACTGGTGTTCACTACGTAAATCTACTTCAAAAAGTTCAACTTTAATAGCTAAGATAGCCTTAGGACAATTATGAGCATCTTATATTTAGAAATATTAAGCCCCTTTCTCTAGCTTTAAAACGACGTTCAGATAAAAAACCCGAGCTATAACGATTTGAAGAAGAACATGAAAATTGTAAGCGAGTCGGAGACATGACATAATTTTTTTTACGAAACTATGTGACCAAAAGTTCTTATAAAAACTAAGAGATGAAAAGTCCGTTTAAAATAGCCTGTGGAAATCAATCGCTTGAATATTTGCTGTACATTTGATAAGTTCTACATTTTTCTACAAATCATCATTTCTATTAAAGCTTTGGTGACAGGGAGATGCTATCACAAAAAAAAGAAAAGAAAACACAAAAAAAAGGAATTTTTAATTTATTTTCAGCATTTCAGCTTTCAAAAAAATGTTGTTAACGGGTTGATTTCTTGTTTGCTAAAGCACTTTATTTAAAGAGCCACAAAAGGAGCAACTGCAACAAATACTTGCACATCAGTACTACTGACAATGGCCAAATATCGATAGTTGCTGCTTTTGTTGTTGAAGCGTAGAAACCCAACAACAAACATGCACCCTTAAAGCGCAGACTTTTCACGAGTGAGTTTATAAAAATTGACCGAAGGCAAACTGAAAATTGTTATTTGTTTGCTAATGGTAAACAAAACAATAAAGCAGCGGCATCAGCAGTAGAATTGGTTGCAGCAATAAAATCGCCAGTGTTTCGGAAAAACTGTTGGCAATTTCGTTTTCGTCACAATAGCAGTCACTACAAAAATAACAACGACAGTAGCAAAAAAAAAAAAATAAATGTGAAAATAAAAATAAATACCAATGACAAAAGCATACATAGTAGATACATACATACATACATATGTATGTACAGCAATTGCTGCTGCTGCTGCTGCGGCTGCTGCTGTTGCTCGCGCGTTAACAGCAATAAACATTGACGACCATCGAGCCATGGCAAGCCAACTGTCGCAGCAACGGTGGCAGCTAATAACAAAAGTAAAAGTAAAAGCAAAAGCAACAACAATAGCCGCAAACTGCATTTTACAGCTCAATTGAAAATCACAGCGGAAAAATAGCAACAACACAAACACAATGAGGCAGCGTATAGCAGCGCTGTTTTTCCACGCGCTGCTGCACTTTTTCCATCGAGCAAAATGTGTAAAAGGCAAAGGCGAGAATAGGACGATAAAATTGACTGCGACAAGAACAGCTTCAAACACACAGAAAAGCGCAATAAAATGGCATTTTTTCCGCGCGGTGTGCTTTCATTGGGCTTCACTCGATTAACGCACATTCACACTAGCAGACCATACATACATAGTTGCCAACTTGGTGCTTTAAGCACTAGATTTAGTGCTTTTTGAAAATTAAAACGCCAAAAAAAATGTTTTAGTGCCTAGTGCCCTTTTTAGTGCTTTTTTATGAACTAAAATTTCTGAATTTACAAGAATCTACAAATTTAAATGCACTAAAATGCAAGCCATGATTGATGAAAAAATGAAGTTGCAAATCCACGTTCTTGCGTTCTTGTTAAATTGTATTCGCATTGAAAATGCTAGCACGCAGATAAGTTAAGGTTTTATTTTTTTATTTTCTTGATTATTGATTGATTACACAGTTCGAAAAATTTTATCTTTTTTTCCCACCTTAGTGCATCGGTTTTTTGTAGATTTTTCGGTGCTGAATCCAAATCTGGCTTCAGAATTTTTCTACCACGTCCGAATTTTGAGATATCCTAACCTCTAAGCGTAAAACACGGTTTTTCGCAATATTTGAGGTTATATTATAAAACAACAATTTTTTTTCGCTCATTTCTACTTAGGGTATCATTAAGTATTACTCTTCCCCTTTCAAATTCAATTTCGTTTGTTGCGATTCGATTGTTTTTTCTCCAGATGTACCAGTTTTAATGTGCAGTACTTCGGTATTACTTCGGTATTACTTCGTAAGCATGAATGTGTATTTATTTATACATGTAATAGTGTTTATTTTTTTACTTTTGTTTACCACAAACTGTTATGAAAAAAGAGTATCCTTTGATAAAAAAAAAGATTTAGTGGTTTTAGTGCGGTAAAACGCTCTTTTTTTCAAGGTTTGGTGCTTTTTGAAACTCAAAAGTTGGCAACACTGCATACATATATGTAATACACACACACATATACGTATATATTTATACATAAATACATACATATGTATATAATATATTTATATTTATGAGCGCCGATTTTGTTTGTTATTATTATTGCTTTGGTAGCCATGCTTTATGTTGCTTGCAACAATTTCTACTTTTCTGCTCGTTTGTCTTTTCAATTGACATTGGGCCCTTTGTTGCCGTTGTTGTGCGCCATTGCAACAATTAATTGCTGTTTTCCGGTTTACATAGTGGCGCCCTTTATTGCTATAACAACAACAACAACAACAACAACCGAACCTAACAAAACGAAAACTAATCATATTTATATATAAGGGCTATTGAAAAAAATTTAGCGGCAAAATGCGCAAGTGGTTTCAATTGCCCTTTCCGCTTGCGAAAATGTATGAACGAGTCCCCTGCAATATTTGAGGTTCTCGCCTCTTGCTGGCTAGCGTTCAATTTGGCATTGTTGTTGTGTGACTTTGGTGCTTTATTAACTGTTCGATTGCAAAGTTTAAATTTTTCATTCAAAGGGGTGTGATTTTGTTCGAGAGGGCCTTTTGTTGTTGCTTAAGTGTGTTTGTTGTTTGTAGTGGAGGAGTATTCTGAAAGAATCCAAAACGGTAGTTTTATTTAGATGTATTTATTAAGGTGAATTTGATAGAGTGCTTCATCACGCCTTGATTAAGTTGGATTAAGCTGCTGCAGCATGCTGTGGCTGTGCGCTGATTGACTTCGACCATCTACCTGGAAACAAAAGCAATAACATTGTCCATAAGAGCATTGTACTTCGCAAATTTTCGTCGAACAAATGTTTGGCAGACAGTCGAAAAAAATACGAATGAAGATACTGCCGACTAAAAGAGCCCTCTGGAGTGGCAAACAAGTCTTCAACAAACTCGATTCATTCAACCCCACGAAGGATACGACAGTTATCATTGCCGGAAAGTCCATTCTACTGGCTTGCTTTTATATAAGCCGAAGGACCCGTAATGACCAGCATAACCAGTCGCACTTGGGAGCGTTCCAATTGTATAAGTCCAACTCAGAGCAAGACTTAGCATTTTAGTTCACTCCTTGGTTCTTTGTCTTTTCATGATAACAATTCAATGTTTTAAAAAAAGTTATTTTTTCTTTACTCTTTGAGATCAATACAAAGGAAGAAGAAATACCGAGTAGGTCGAAGTCCTTTTCAAAAGTGTTAAACTTTTTATTGGAAACAATCTTTCCTATCGAAGCTCTCTAGGCCCAGAGCTCTAGCAGTGCAAAGATATCTTAACGTCCTGCACCAAACGTTCTTTAGAAAATTTTTTCAATAGACGACCTCTTTCTTTTGTGGTTACTCAGTTGTGATCAGAAATACTTTTTTTAACCGACTTCACAAAAGGGAGGAAGGTTATCAATTCGTCGGTTTTTTTCTTTTTTTATATGTATGATACCGCATAACTTAGGAACACGTTAACCGATTTCTATAATTCTTTAAAAAAAAAAGGATTTTTGCACTTTTTCATATACACAAGAGTGTGAATTTCTTACGAAATAAACGCAGGAGACCGTCAGCATCAAAATTTCAAAATATCAACGGGAGTTTTTGTAAGTTGCCTTTGTTGTATTAAAAAAAAGCCCGAAAAAATTGCCTAAAAAAAAAAATTCTTAAAAATAAACGCGCTTTTTAACCGTTTGAAACTTGCACTTCCTTAGACTAAAATTGTATGGGCTATACAACTGCAAATCCAAAAATTTTCTAAAAGTTCAGAATAAAAAGTTGACATTTTGTGAAAATTTGTTGAATTTTCCTAAATTTTGTCTTAAGTGTGCAACTGTGATTTACACGGTTTTGGTTAAAGCTTAGACGATAGTTTAAAAAAACCATAACAAAAAAAAGAATGTAGCTGGAAAAATATTACCAAAATTAAAAAAAAACAACACGTGGTCATTTGTTTGAGTCACTGTATATCACGAAAAATGTGGCTTTATGTTCCACTCATGTGCCATGACTCTCGCTTTCGCGCCACACAAAATACGTATGCAACTACTATATAGTATCGAGTACATATACTCCATACATATGCACTAGGGTGCCCATCGAAAATATATATAATTTTTTAATTTCGAGACCCTACCCCCTAATTTCCTTCCTTTTTGTATCAGTTTTGAATAAATATTGATGAATTCCTTAGCCAATACACAAATACAAATACCTAACTTCGACAATTTTTGTGTGATTGCAATAAATGAGGTATCAATTTATTTGAAAGTAGATTTAATTTAAGGTAGTACTACATATTTTTAAATTGTAGAAATTTAAAAAAAATTAAGAAAAAATGTTTTTTCTTTTATTATCCCGATGAAAAATTCCAACAATTAAAGTCTGACAATAGATTATTATACATTATTTTAAATGTCTATAAATGACAAGTCGCGAGACCTAAATGATTTCTAAAAAATCTATAAAAATAGGCAATCATATTTCTTGAAATTTCCAAAAAAATTTTTTTTTGATGGGCACCCTAATATGCTTGTATGCAGATAAAATTATTTTCAGAACTTAATATAAAACCACTAAAATGCAGCTTTTGGTTCGCTCTACACATTTCAATGCCTAAAAGGTAAAAATTAATTCATATGCATTTATTTACATGCAAGTAGTTTTAGTACCCATAGCTACGAGTACCCTTCGGCGAGTTAAAAAGTTCTCGGCAAATGCAAATAACTTTTTACCAGAAAACACGAAAGGCTTAGGGCACATGAAACACATGTAAATCTTTAGTTAGAATATGTTTTCGAAATTTTTTAAAACTTTAAAAAAATTCATCGACACCGCAGCTTTGTATGGAGTATAAAAATAAAAATAACGAATGGGCGCGCGAGTGAGGTTTGACATGCTAGTGCCACACTGTTGGTGCCGCTTACCATGGCGTTTGGCAAAAGCGCCCTAAACAGAAAATCAGAAATGTGAAAGTTTTGTGAACCACAGCATCCAAATGTTGCAGAAACAAAATATAAACATGCCGCAACACTTAAAAAATTCGGTGCGGTTTAGTGTGCCACCGAACAGGGAGCAACAACAAAAAAAAATGAAAAAATGAAAAAAATTAAAATTTATATTTCCGGCCACAACTCGGATTTAGGTATGCGTGTAGTCTGGATTGATGATACACGAAAAAAGTGAGCTTATTTTAAATGTGATAATGGGGATGCGATAATATTTATTGCTGTAGTTTCTATTGCCGCAGTGCAGTGCTTGCCGCAATGTCTCTTGTGTTCTAGTAAAAATTCTGAAAGGGAGCGATCGCTAGATATTTTTCTAACAGATTCTGTGATGAGATTTTTAATATTGCCAAACAAAACTGATTCAAAGGAAAGCTGAGTAAATTTTTTTTGTGCGCAATTTTTTCCATTGGCGCTCCTTTGATGTACCCCATCTTTGAGGCTGATCTATTATATTTAGAGAAAACTTCACGAACAAGTCTTTCAGAGCTTTCGTACTAAACTCAGCCATATGAAGGTCAAAAATACTGAATGGTCAAGAATAGATAGTCTCAGGTTCGGTAAAGCTCTTTCCTTTTTTTCTCTAACAAATCGGTACGGAGTTATCCACCTCGCCGTATGCATTTCAAAGCCTTTTGGCTGTCAACGATTGTAGTGCTATTCCTTGATAGAGACTAAGGGCCGGTTGTTCAATGTCTGATTGACCCAAATCGGAGGTAGAAATCGTCGATAGTGTAGTGGTGGTCATAACCAGACATTGAACAACCGGCCTTAAGGGTCGTTTGCACTATGTCCAACTTACACTAACTAGAGGCAAAAACTCCAGTTAGGCACATCGACTGCTTTATCTTTCACATGTTACGAGTATATGCATGAAATCGATAACGATGTATACATACATACATACATACATACTTCCAAAAATATATAGTAGATATAGAAGCCAATGCGACAAAAAAATTCTAAAAAAATTAACGGTAATTCGTAGCCACTTGAAATTTGCACATTATCAGACTAAAATTGCAGGGGCTAAAAAACTGTGTACTCAAAAAAATTCTATCACTTCCGAGAAAAAAGTTTGAAATTTAGGTGCAAGTTTGTTACACTTTTTTGTAGTTTTCGACAAATTGTTGAACTTGGGTATATATGGGGTTTGTCTGAGAATGAACTAAAGTTTAATTGAAAATTCTTAAAAATAAATAAATAAACATAAGGGGCACACAATATCACTTGGAAATGGCGTGCTATAGATATGACCGGTACTGTATATACACCACACACATGTATGTACATACATACATAGTTTACTTACAGCTTATTTTCGTTTAATTTATATTTAATTCAATCTACATACGTAAATTTGCTCTAAACTTTGCAATGTATGTTAATGCAACAAAAGCGGATGTAATTGCTGCCAGCAAAATTAGAATAAGGATACTGTTAAAAAAGGTCGACAATTTTTTGCAATTCAAAAAGTATTTTATTCTTTAATTCGTTTATAACTTTTCCA